TGAAACCTCGTATAGGATAGTATCATATCTTAAATGCTTTTTATACCAGTTAATTACTAATGTAGTCTAAATAGTTAGGCACACAAAATGCTTATTAAAGACAGCATTTCATTATGCATGACAACATTAAGGTGCTTTTACTTCTGTTGTTTTGTTTGATCCTCCTGTTAATCTTATGAATTAGGTACAGTGAACCCTGACTTACAGATAAGAAAACTGAAGCTCAGAGAATCTGAGTGACTTGTCTAAGACCAAACAACTAATAATTTATGGAGTCTGAACAAAAACCCAGAGACTTTCATTCTTATTTAAAACTTTTTTCAGTGTAACATGAATAAAAATAACACGTAACAAGTGGATGAATAAATGAATGACTGTCTTATAATTTCTCACAATTCTTCTTCCTCTTTCCGTTTTTTTTTCTGCCTTACTTTTATGCTCATCCATCTGCTTTATATTCTTTCTTTGTCTGTAATCACACCTCCAGCTTGCTAGTGACAACTCATTTCTGGGGTATCATCAGTTGTTTTTTAAGAGGTTCAGTAGCAAAGAGGCTGTTGACCCCATCTGGCTGGCATTCTGTAGGCAGTTGTCCTAAGAAAGATTTCCCAGAAAAAGACCCTGAAAGAAGGATGTGTGTGTGTGTGTGAGTTATTAAGAAAGTGCCCCCAGGAGAACCCAGCAAGGTGGTGAGGGAAACACGACACGGAATGCAAAGAAGTTCAGCAATTTCTTGCAAAGCTCCAGTTTCAGTTTGATTCCACAGGGTGTGCTGGAATGTAAAATACACATCAGCCTATACCCACTGAGGCAAGGGAGCGGGGCTTTCATACTTCTTCACTAGTCCGTCGTTGGCTAAAGGCAACCCCAAGAGGATATATTTCCCAGATATTCGGCTTTCTGCACAGGGAAACAAAGCTCTTCTGAAGACGGTCATGGCTGTGAGCCTTTAAAGCCAAAAGCCCACTGGAATTGGAGGAAGAGTATGCTGAAATAGCAAACAGCAACAACAAAAACAAAGAAACGAAAATCCAAGGGGAATCTGGCCAGAGCACCAACAATACCTGCTAGGTCTAGGAACAATAATGTAAGAGTTCGTCACATTTTAGAGCATCACAAATTCCTTTAAAGATCTAATGCAAGCATTAGACGCTTATATCGGACATTTGCAAATGTTTAGAGCTGGCCAGTCTTCATAGGTCCCCAATGTCTCTGAGAGGCTTCAGTGAAGCCGTTCAACCTTAAAACTAACTTTCCAGGCCTCCATTTCTAAGACTCTGCTCTCCAAGAAAATGTCATAGGCTAAGCTGCTCTGTAACTTCATTACTCTGATAGTTACAGAGCAGAAGGAAAAGGCATTTTTTTTCCAGCCTGCCTGGTTCTAAGGTGGAGTAACACTGCCATGTGACCTCAGGAAAATCTCAGTCCTATTAGCTAGAATGACATAAGGATAATGAATAATAACCTCCTTTAGCTGAGAAGTGTCCCTTGGGAGAGAAGGCACATAGACTGGAGACCCAGAGGATACAGATTGCTGTTCTCCATGGAAAGTAGAGTGTAAACTCAGAAAATCGAAACCAAGCCTGTGGGCTTTGCTGGCACATATGAGGCAGCTTTTCACCAGCCACGTCTCTGTGGCTCACTTATGGACTCCCTGGGCTCCACATCTATTATAATAAAAGAGGCAACTTTTTCTTTTTTCCTTATTGTGGAGAGGTCCATTGGGTTTTGTTTTGACAGGCCAGGCACAACATGACAGATGGGGCTGAAGTCACAATCCTCCTCCCCCAAACCATCAGAATTAGTCTATTGCCCTCCCTTCCAATGTTGGAGGACGAGAACTTGTTACTAGGCTGCGGCATTGAGGAAATGTTGAGCCTCACCGGATTGGAATCTTGATGGCAATAAAGAAAACACTATACCTTGTCATCTGTATTTGAATCTCTAGACTTGTCTCTAATTGATTATTTATTCTTTAATTTATAAGCTTACATTGTCTCCACTATCATAACAAACTATATATAAAATTTTAAAATCTGGTTATAAAACAGAATGCAGAATATGGTCTCATTTATGAAGAAATACGTGTGAGTATGGTTGTATATTCATTAGAAGTCTGGAAGTATTCCAGCAGCTTGTTACAAGTGGTTACCCCTTGGGAGTGGGGAAGGAGATGAGATCATATAAAGAATTTTATGTTCTCGGCACGGTTTGGATATTTAACAACGATGAGAAGAAATATGATAATTTTTTTCATAAAAAATTATTAAATAAGATTCTCAAAGAAATATATTCTTTTTATTTAAGCAACTATTTTCATCTTTTCTTGGCTTATTTTAAATCTTTCCACATATAACCATTATAATAATTATAGCATATATATAATAATTTTTATTTGACATTTTCACTTAATGCTACTTCATTTACACTTTCTTAAGAACATAGTCGGCATATTTTTATTAATGGATGCTTAATTGTCCATTGATTCAATGTCTATTTTTGTGACATACTTTTCTTTGAAAATTATACTGTTACTTTTGGCCAATAAAATATAAAAAGGGTAGCTAATGGGAGGGAAATTCTCAAATCTCAAGCAAGACCCCCTGACTTACCATCAGACAAAGAAGAGCTAGGTCATTTGGAAAACTACCGTTGGCTTGTTTCAAGCACGTCCTTCCTGGTTTTTGGTAGACATTTACTGGACACCTACATACCAAACCAGTGTTATACTTTGTATTTAATCTATGTTTCCTGAATTGTAGCACTATAAGAATTTCTTTTAGAAATCTGATCTGCGAAGCTCATCTGAGTCCCGGCAGTCTACCAGCCAGCCGACAGAAGCAGCCTGAATTTGAAGACCAGCCAGCATCCTGTCTTACCATGTCAGCCGTATAAGTCAAAGAGGAGACAAGAGTACAGTTCTCCAAAGGGTGGGGACAAGATGGACATCAAGCATTATCTTCTTGTGGCCATAGAAGATAGAAAGGTTCTTCCCAGGACCAGGCCTCTGGGCTTGTAGAAGAACTTCCATATTCTCTTATCTCTGCAATGCCCACCTTTACTTTCCTCTGCAACCATTCCTCAGGAGTATATGATATATTTCTCTTCCCCCCCTTGGATTTTTTTCCCCTTTGGCTCCAAACTTAATCAAAATATGAACATAGAGATATAGACTATTGATCCTACAAGCCATTCCCTTCAATTTATAGGAGATAGGGTCAAAGAGAGAATATAATTTGCTGAAGGGCCTATAGCATCCACCAGCCCTGTGAATGATGCAGGTGTGAGAACCTCCTAAAACATGTGGCTGTGTGTGGGTATCAATGTTTGCCTGTTAATACGTATCTCCATTTTTACATTTCCATATTAGGCTATCTCTGGCCTGTGTTCATGAAGATTCTCTGGTATCCTCAGCTGGAACCTAATTCTCTATCAAACAAAACCCACCTGTGCTTCTTTCATGATACTTACCACTTTTTGTTGTGTTATGATTACTCTTGCATTTGTATAATCTTTATGCTTAGATCTCAAGTTCTTTTGGGGAAATAGTTCATATTCTTACATATACATTTCCTAGAGAGCATAATAAAATAACTTGTTTAGTTAATGATGGTTGAAGGAAAGTGCATAGCTTTTCTTCTTGAAGGATTCACAATAATTTTTGGTAGAACAGAATGATATAAAGCCTTAGGAAAGTGGTCTATCTTATAACTTAAGTAAAGGCTTTGGAGTCTCAAAGACATGTGCTCAAATGGCAGCTCCACATTTAGTTGCCACATTGCCTCAGGCAAGTTACTGAACTCTATGAGCTTCAATGGCCTTATCTGTACACTGGAGGAAGTCATATGTGTCTCATGGGATCGTAACTGTTTTAAATGAAGAAATATATGAAATTAGCACACTTATTTGCATAGAACATGCACGTATTAAATTATACTTATCATTAATTACTGTTAGAGACTCGTAGTATCAGTAACACAATTTGCTGGCAAAGAGCATTAGGCTCAAATGTTTAAATGGAGCGGGGAGAAGAAAGCAAGTGGCTTTTACTCTAATTTACCTGGCACTGCCTATCCTGACCAATTCCTTCGATGGCTACCCTAGTCTTGAAATTAACATCTTAATGCTAATTAAGTATTTAGTAATGGTCCTACCATTACTAAAATAATGGTAGGACCACAAAATAGACTGGCCATTTGGTAGGAAAAACAAATACCTTTCTTCTTCTTGCATTTGTTTTACCACCTAAAATGCATACAGGCTAGTACACGCTACCATGGACAGAGATAATATGATTTCTCTTGGGTTCATCCAGAATACTTGGAAAACTCTCATAAGAAATCAGTGATAAAAGACAGTGGAGTCTTTTTTTTTTTAACTTTTCTCTTCTTTTCTTTCTAAGTGTTAGGAGATGAACTGCCTACTTAGTGATTAATTAGTATGCCCCTCCTCACTCCAGTGTGAGAGGCATACATTTAATCCTAAAAGTACAGGCAAAATTACCAAAGTGAAAATGTATTCCCTGGAGAAATGGAGATAAGAATGCAGATGCTTACTGAAGTGCGGTTGCTTGTGGATTTGTGAGGCTGATGGAATATGATGTTTACATTAAGAACAGCTTGCAATTGTATTGGAAACAAATGCTTACCATTGCATTACTGAAATGAAGACATATGCAATAAAAATTTTCTGCATTGGAACACACAGATGCATAACAATTATTATCAGTGTACGACTATGACTGCATGATTATGAAATTCCAAGTTTCAATAGAAAATGAGAATAGGAAACATAAACATTGTCATTATTTAAATTGCAATAAACAATTACATTAGATATTAAAAGATGAGAGCAAAAACATTTCAATTAAGCTAGCATAAATGCTACAAAAATCTTCTATATAACAGTTTTTTTCAAAATGATATTGATATTTATATGCAAAAATGTAAATAATCCCAATAAATTGTGAGAACATGAAGGAAAGGAAAGTAGCCAGAAACCTGAGATGCTCAAATCCTGACATCCTGCAAGACCTCTCCCCCATCTTCTCCACCCTCTCTGATGAGATTTCCAGGGATCTGTAGGCAGAAGACAAGGTCACTTGTTTTATTGCAAGGAGTGTTTTATTCCAAACCTCAGTGTAACCTCTAGCAATTTTGTTTATTTAGACTTGAAATAAAATGAATCTATGGCTTTTTTTTTTCTTAGCAACAGCAAGCTTTTTATGATTGTCAGTTCATACATTGCACTCTATAAACATCTTTTAGATAAGGTAAACAATATACAACATTTAAATGTTAATAGTTCTTGTTTTATATAGGTTTAATAGACAATATAGTTTTATTTCACCAAAGTGTTGATACCTCAAGACCAGACTTCGTAATGAATACACACTGAACTGCCAGTCATGTTTCACATCCACTTGGTTTATTTTAACCTTTTACAACATGAAAATAGAAAATCCTAATGTTGGCAGGCATGGTGGCTCATGTCTATAATTCCAGAACTTTGGGAGGCTGAGGTGGGTGGGTCACCTGAGCTCAAGAGTTCAAGACCAGCCTGGGCAACATGGTGAAACCCCATCTATACCTAAAAATATACAAAAATTAGCCAGACACCACAGAGCACACCTGTAGTCCTAGCCACTTGAAAGGCTGAGGTATGAGAATCACTCAAACCCAGGAGGTTGAGGCTACAGTGAGCCAAGATTGTGCCACTGTACTCCAACTTGGGTGACAGAGCGACTTCGTCTCAAAAAAAAAAAAAAAAAAGACTCAAAACCCAAAAACCAAAAACCAAAAAATCAAATGTGCAATTGTAAGTCATCAGAAATGGGAGTAAGTGTTTGGTGACTTGTCAGATATTTTTTTTTTTTTGAGATGGAGTCTTGCTCTGTCACCCAGGCTGGAGTGAAAATGGTGTGATCTTGGCTCACTGCAACCTCCACCTCCCGAATTCAAGCAATTCTCTTGCCTCAGCTTCCTGAGTAGCTGGGATTACAGGTGCCTGTCACCATGCCCACCTAGTTTTGTGTTTTTAGTAGAGATGGGATTTCACCATGTTGTACAGGCTGGTCTCGAACTCTAGGACTCAAGTGATCCACCCACTGCACCCACTGACTTGTCAGATAATTATAGACATTGAGATCAGTGAAGAGCCTGGAAAGATGGAGAGAGATTTCATTGAAGGTTACTTCAACATTCTCTCACATACTAATTTGGAATATCATGTCCAAAGCTGGAAGTCTGGATATTTAACTTGGGAGAAAGAAGAAAATGAATTAATTATCCACTTTCAGTTGCTTTAATTCTTAAAGTATTTATATTTTGCTGTGACATTTGTATGCATTTTTAAAAAGTGTTTAGTTGATCATTGATTTTTCTGATGGAAGGAAAAAATTATCACATTCTGAGAAAGATCCAAATTCTTGATGAAAAAGCTGCCTTTACCATAATTCAGTCTTTTAAATATATTTTGATATATTTTTCTAAACATTAAATATTATATTTTACCTCTAAGATGATAGATTTAAACCATTCAGATACTGACTGAATCGTAGAGATGGTCTTTACTGATTTTAACAGTGCCATGAAAAAAATCTTTCATTTCATTTCATATTCAAGCAATGCAAGCACCGTTCCCCTCAACAGTTAGCCAACTTAAATATTGTGACAGTCATATACTTGCTGCTTATTTCTTTGAACAGCAGGAGGAGAAGGCATACCTCCAGGCTCTACAATTGAATCAGAGTCATAGGTTTTATAATTTCTTTCAACACTAAATTAAGATCAGAAGATATATTGGTGACTTCCAATTGGTGACCTGTTCTCTGAGAATAAGCAGTGTGTGCACTGGCATTCAAGAGCAGCCCCCGTTATCCCTGTGGTAAAGTGTTCTCTTACCGCACACATAGCTGGTGCACCTTTGGTTCTGACCCCAACGTGCCATTTCCAGCTTAACTCTTGGCTCGTTAAAACAGGTGGTACCTAAATGAGAAATCTCTCTCCTGTAGTGTATGTTTTTAAGGATAAGCAAACTAAGAAGTCATTGGGCACTTTTTCTTATTCAAAGTACATTTGCCAAAAGCTGATCCACACTCTGCATTAAAAAATGCTTTGATCTCACTGTAAAGGGCAGCATGCCTGTGGGATGCCAATTGCTCAGTCACATCCTATGCCATTGGCAGAATGTAACATCAAAAAGATGTCATTAGATAAGTTTACCAATAACTCATTCTTCTTTCTCTCCAAATAAAATATTATCAATGACGTTGTTTTTGGTTTTACAGACTTTTGGGAAATAGAGTGATTTATGCCTATTTTTGCTCTACGTATTGACAATTACTTATTTTGATGCCTGAATAGTTTAGATGCGTGAGTCATATTGTCTCATTTCTCATTTAAATAACAAATTAGTTAATTTTCTATGTGAAACATTTTCTTTTTTGCTCATTCCAAAACATTGTGATTGGTTTACCAGGCTGGGCATGGTGGCTCATGCCTGTAATCCCAGAACTTTTCAAGGCCAAGGCAAGAGGATCACTGGAGGCCAGGAGTTTGAGAGCAGCCTGGGCAACATATTGAGACACCCGCCTCTACAAAAAAATTGAAAAATTAGCAGGGTGTGGTGGTGCACACTCGTAGTCCCAGGTACTTGGGAGACTGAGGTGAGAGGATCCATTGACCCTGGAAGGTTGTGGCTGCAGTGAGGTATGATTGTGCACACTGCATTCTAATCTGGATGACAGAGAGAGATCCTGTTTAAAAAAAAAAAAAAAAGAACATCCAATTTAGTCATTACAGTACCTTGTATAAAGTTTAGGAATATAATTTGGAGAATATAGTTCATTCTTCAAATTATATTCCTAAACCTTATATAATGATATTTACAAGAAAAATAACTTCAAATTTATGAAAAGTATACTGCTTCATCTTTCTCTCTCTCTTTAAACTGACAGCTTAATAGATCTAAGTAAGAGAGGCAGCCGAGTGTGGTGGCTGACACCTGTAATCCCAGCACTTTGGGAGGCCTAGGTGGGCATATCATGAGATCAAGAGATCAAGACCATCCTGACCAACATGGTGAAACCCCATCTCTACTAAAAATACAAAAATTAGCTGGACATGGTGGCGTGAGCCTGTAGTTGCAGCTATTCAGGAGGCTGAGGCAGGAGAATCGCGTGAACTCGGGAGGTGGAGTTCACCTCCAGTGAGAGATCGCACCACTGCACTCTGGCCTGGTGGTAGAGAGAGACTCTGTCTCAAAATGAACAAACAAACAAACAAAAACAAAACAAGAGAGGCTGCTAATAATGGTCCGAGGACCACATGTTGTTCTGCCTTAAGTTCACTGTGCTTACCATTCCTCCACCGGAAGGAAAGTTAAGTCTGAGAAACGCAAGCCAAAGAAAAGGAATTTCTCTCTATGACCCACAGCAGGGCTGGCAAGAGGTGTATGAAGGGCAGGGCACAAGGAATGGTCAGCCTGCCTCTCTCAGGACAGGAGGAGTGTTCGATCACAGACATTGTTTAGAATTATTGGTGCATGTTGATAACAAACAGATTTTTAGTTGTTCTGTTATTGCTTTTAAATTATTTACAGACAATTCACACCTTTATTTTTTATACCTGGGGCAGACCACCCTCACTCTCAGCCCTTAGCAGGCCATATCAGTGGGTCTAATAGGAGCACTCTGTACTAAGTAGGCCTGGGAGAGAGCTCACATGGGATGAATCCTAGGCCTGTCTTACCTTGATAGCTTTAAAAATGAAGAGAGAGACCCTACCAAGAGGGGAAATACACACACACACATACACACACACACACACACACACAGAGAGAGAGAGAGAGAGAGAGAGAGAGAGAGAGAGAGAGATAGAAAGAAATGTGTTGAGGGAGAAAGAGACTATCTTGGTTAGCACAGGACCTGATAAATGACCCTGATCTTGACCCCTTCATTTCTGCACCATGTCTACTCTTGAGGAGAGTGAGGTAGAACTGGGAGCAAGGGGTCCAGTAGAAGCGGAACATAGAGGATTCTGGAGATTTTTCAAAAGACAGTGGGAAGAAGTCTTTGAGTGATTTGAGACTTGATTCTCAAACACAGTGTAGGCATTGGTTCATTTTTCACAGGATTTCAGAGATCAAATGCAAATTTGCTAAAGTTTATGTTGGTGAGAATGTGCTTAGTCAACAGAGCGTATGAAATCCTGAGCTGAGGTGAAAGTGGATAGTCAGAACACCAGTGTGGACCCCAGTGAGGCTGCTAAGAACCTAACCATTTCTCATCTTGGGTCTCCAGAGTCACAGATGCGCTGATCTGTCTTATCATAGTACCCCTACGCTGAGCATGGCAGAGGCAACCAGTGGAGCTAGTGGGCTGCCTGTAGCACACTAGAAATCCAATTCATGAGATTTCCATTCCTTAAAACCTTTTTAATGTTCAGCTGTTTCACATTAGGTTTTCCTAAAGTGGTGTACACTCATACACTTGGACCATTCAGTTTCTCCAGTAAGTAAGTGAAGCTGTAGTAACCTGCACTTTTCTTATTTACTTGAGGGAAACTGATGTTCTGGAAAATTGCTCGGTGACTAAGGAAAGGGTATTCTTTCTCCTCCAAGGAAGTGCTCCAACCCTGTGGTGAACAAACGTTGCATCAGAGCTTTTTAAAAAAAATTATTATTATTATACTTTAAGTTTATTACATAGGCATACACGTGCCATGGTGGTTTGCTGCCCCCATCAACCCATTATCTACATTAGGTATTTCTCTCCTAATGCTCTCCCTCCCCTAACTTCCCAGACTCTGACAGGCCCCGGTGTGTGATGCTCCCCTCCCTGTGTCTATGTGTTCTCATTGTTCAACTCCCACTTATGAGTAAGGACATGCGGTGTTTGATTTTCTGTTCTTGTGTTAGTTTGCTGCAAATGTGTATCAGAGCTTATGAACAGTAAGTATGAGTTCCCCACTACTATTTTGGTTTTAGTTATGAAAATTCAACTAATTCAATAAGCATTCACTGAGTGGTTGTTATGAGCCAGACCCTAGGCCAGGAGCTAGAGTTATGGAAATATGTCTCACAGATGTACACAGTTAACCACATGAGAAGGCAAAAGTCAACCAGTGCAATAAACAAGGCACAAACAAAAGCTTCTGGATTGAGGGTATGTGTGTGGGGGGCACATGCACCATTTTCAAGCTCAGGTAATTTATTTGATCTCTCTGTAATCACCCTTATAAATATTCGGGCAAACTTAATGACTTGTGAGGCTTACAGCATTACAGGTTTTTAACAAAGTACCGTCCCCTCCTCCTCCTCTCTCCTCCACTCCCACACTGCAGACGTATTGTAGGCAGGGACTGCATGGTGCTTGTCCACCATGTCCTGGATGGTATCTATTCTAGTGCTTTGTTCCAGTTATGCCCAACAAATATACGCTTGGGTGAATAGTTTGCTGATTGTGCTTAGGAAAGAGCCAGAAATGAAAAATAGAAAGAAGGAGAAGAAAGAAAAAGAGAGAAAACATTGCTCCAACCACTGTTGATAAAAGACAATTAGGAAGGAAGGGCAAATGGAAGGATTTATGCAGATGGAAAAGACGGGTTCATCAAATTATTAATTCCAAATGAGTGTAGGTTATCAATACTTTTTTCCTGTCTGTGTTTGGCCAGCTGGTATTACTGAGAGCACACTAATGCTACATAATTAGAAATGATATTTTATAGCAGCACAGCAATTTGAAGCATACACTCTGCCACATTTACCAGTGATACCCCATACCTCTCGTAATTCCCACCTCGTTCTCTTGAGGTACTGAATGAGTATTAGTCATTTGGTGAGATCTCCTAATGTCATCAGATGATCCAAAAAGAATTTGCAAAAGAATTTGAAAAGGGAAAGCTTCAGCCCAATAGTTACTACCATAAAAAAAAAAACACTATGATAGCAAACAGTATATTTGTCTGATTTTACCTGTAGAATAAACTTATTATAGAACGGTCACTTAATAGACCAAGTATTTCAGTGTTATGTGGGAGGATATTACCTGTCTGTCTTCTTTGCAAATATTATGACCACCATCAAATCCACACCAGCCTGGATTATGTACACCAATCCCTATGAAAAACAAGTCAAAAAACTCCAATTGGAAAGACAGGCTGTAGTTAATCTTTTGTTCTCTATACTAGTATTCTCACTTTTTTGAGGCCAACCTTTAACTCTCCAAGTGGCATTTTTAGGAAGCTATATAAGCTGATGAAAAAATTATCTTACTGAGAGGACTGGTCCTGAAATTTACTTCTTTTTATTGGGCAGCATTTAGCATCTATTTGGGCTACAATTCTGAATGGACTCTCCTAATAGCATCCAGATCACTAGTGAGAATATTAAAATAACCCTCCAGTCCTCCCCCACATAGCCCTTTACCCTAGTTCCAACCTTGAGGCTGTCGAGACTGTTCGCTTCCGCCTGCCATCTATTTTGCACTCCCCTGCTCTGGTGCCTTGAATTATTTATGTATTTGTATCCCTGACTAGAATGTAAATTATTTGGAGGGCAGACACCACGTTTCATTCACCTTTATATTTCTTAATTGCCCTTTGCACAAAGGTTTTGAGATATGATAAACATTTGCTAAATAAATAATCAGAGAAGTAGGCCAAATTATACTGTCAGTGAGCTTTGGAGTCCCAATTATACAGAATAATGTTCATTGCCTCTCTAAAATTAATCCTAATTCAAGTTGTGTATTATAGTTTGATAAACATTCAGAACAAAAATTAATCTGAGATTATAAACATATTGGATATGTCTATATATAGCCCATATTGTTGAATGAGGCTTTCCCTGGTCTAATGCCTGTATATTTCAGTTGACTTTAAAGAAGAAGATTTAAAAAAAGAATTAGGCCTTTTCAATCTGTACTAACAAGATAACATTAAACTGCTATAAGCATATTTCATTAGATAGAAGTAAATCCCTAATTAGTTTAAGACTGTAACATGTTAAACAAATTATAATATGTATATTGTCAGATAATGCCATACTGAAGAAAAATTATCCATGTCAACCAGATAAAAGTACAGCATATATTAGTCAACTTCAGGGATTTAAGATATGAGAGCTAAAATATCCCTTAGCATTATTCAAGTGCGGGAGCCAGAAATTCGAGTGTCTACAGAGGTCAGGCCAGAAACCTAAATTCTTACAGGAGATGATGGGTAGAATACCATGCAGAGAGGTAGGGCCTTCCTCACTAATGGGAACAACGGTGTAAAAGTGTTCCTATTTCTCCACATCCTCTCCAGCATCTGTTGTCTCCAGATTTTTAAATGATCTCCATTCTAACTGGCGTGAGATGGTATCTCAATGTAGTTTTGATTTGCATTTCTCTAAACGACCAGTGATGATGAGCATTTTTTCATGTTTGTTGTCTGTGGTGGGGAGCTAGGGGAGGAACAGGGGGTGCTGTGGAGCTGGGGAGGGATAACATGGGGAGAAATGCCAGATATAGGTGATAGGGAGGAAGGCAGTAAACCACATTGCCATGTATGTAACTATGCAACAATCCTGCATGTTGTTCACATGTGCCCCAAAACTTATAACGGAATAAAATACATGTATATATACACATATACATATGTATATATAGAAACAATGGTTGCCAGCTCCAGGTTATGGTTTCCCCATAAAGATAAAGCCTGGATATTGTCACAGAAGAAGAAAAGTTGCAAGTCTAGACACTTGTGAGAAACATCTTGAGTTTTAAATGGCTGCAACTTCATTTTTTTTTTTTTGGTCAAAATCAAGTGTAAGTCAAAAAAAAAAAAAAACACAAAAAAAACCATCTGTAGGTCAGATTCAGTTCCATAGGTCATCAGTTCCTAGATGAGCCAGACAATGTACATGATCTTTAAGGTACCATTTGACCTCAGATTGTGCTGGTACATATTCAGTTAGCAATTTAATATAGTGAGCAAGAATTCTTCTGTATTTTCTGCCAGAGGTTGCTTATTTTACTAAAATTATCAAGTCACATTTAAACAATACATTGCAAGCTATTTTTGGGAAAAGAAAGATATCTACAGAGAACAACTGATAAGTGTAACCGCGTAAAAACTTGGCTATATCTCAAGCATCTTCATGGAGTCACTCACAGATTTTCATCTTCACATTTGGTGTGTTTTCTAGGCTAGATCTATTCATCGAGACTGCCAAGTGAGATTTTGAAAAGAATAAGTAAACCGAAATGGAATCACTTATTCTGACCTCATGTTTTCTTTGGGTGTTTGAGAGGGATGTCACAACTGTAGCTATGCAGCTGGAAATGTCTGGTGGCTTTAACACAAGAATTATTAATTTGTCGAGACTTACACATATTCACTTCTCCACACTTACATTGAGTGTACTATATCCAAAAGTGGATGTCATTGAGCAATTAATGTTCCTAAATGCAGTTATATTCTAAAACCACACTAACCTGTTAACATCTGGATAGCTGTTCAGTATTATGGATACACACACACACACACACACACACACACACACACACACAGTAATAGCAAGTGCTTATGCTGATGTCTTGGAAAATTCACATGCCAGAATCTAGAGAGGCTAGTTCTAATAGCATAAATTAGTTTAAGTGTTATGAATGATTTGATTAGTTAAGTTAGTTTGAAAAATAGAGAGATGTCAAAAAGCTCTTCAATCTTCCTTCAGATTATGCAAATCATACTTTCTTGACATCTCTTTTACAAGGAAGCAGTCTTTCCTAGCATGCCTACTCTTTTCATAACTTTCCAGTAAATCCAAGTAATTTGATAATTAAATAACCCGATATTCTTTCAGTAAAACAGTCTCTGTGTACTTACTATATAGAAAGCTCTTCACGAGGCAGTGAGAAGGGCTAGATGTGACAGGTGCCCTCAAGCACCTTAGAGAGTGAATGGAGATTCCTAGAATAATGTGAAAGGCCCTTAGCAATCTGTATCCCTCTTTATTTAAAAAGCCTACATTATGCCAAACACAGCGGAGAAGATGGAGATGTTCTTGCCTTTATAGGACATAAAATGCCTCATAAAATTGAACAAATAATAAGAGAAACTCTATGTACATAAAACTAAACAAATAACACAACAGTTTTTAATTCCATAAAGGATTACAAAGAAATCTAGAAGTTTGTAGGAGCTTCTTTATCATCTCTTTAGCCTCTTCTCTTGTCATTACCTTCTTAAATTTTGTGTTCTGCCAAAATAGAGCTGCCTATGGGTCCCTGTACACAACACGTTTCATGCCTTGATATCTTTCCATATGTCAGTCTCTCTACTTGGAGTCCCTCAACTTTCTATGATTTGTCTACCTGTCAACTCTTATTCATCTTTTCAAAGCCATCTGTTTCAGACATCTCTCGTGCAGCACTTCAAAATCTCTCAGCCTCATTTGTCTCTTATTCGGATTACTGCAGACACTCTGTAAGGACTTTGACCAGCTTCATGCATGTGCATTGTGACAGTGACTTGTCTCACACCCCTCCCTGTGTCTCTCACTTTCCACATTCAATGCCCACATACTCAAAATGCACAAGTGACAGGAGTTAATGCTCTGATGGACAAACTCTGGGCAGTGTTAAGAAAGTTTGTATGCCTCCTCAGAGAATCCTCTAAGGAAAAGAGAAAGGAAATGAAAGGAGAAGAGAAGAGTGACCAGAGGAAAGAAGGGAGGGAGGGAGGGAGAGAGGAAGAATCAGCAAACATAGGAAGGAGGAAGAAAAAGGATGTGTACATAAATAGTGAAGTCAGGCTAAGTCATGGTAGATGCCATCTGAAAGATACTAACACAGAATGTGTACTGAGAATTGAGAACAAAATCTGAGAGTGATAATGTGAATCTAGTGTGATAACAGATGTGAGTCAAACATCACAGTAAAATAAGAGTGGTAATCAGTAATTGGTAAGTGTTACTGGGCTGAGTGCAGTGGCTCGTGCCTATAATCCCAGAACTTTGGGAGGCCAAAGCAGGATGATCACTTGAGCCCAGGAGTTTAAGACCGACATAATGAGACCCTGTCTCTACAAAAAATAAATAAATAACTTAGTCGGGCATGGTGGCATGTGCCTGTACTCCCAGCTACTCAGGAGGTTGAGGTGGGAAGATTGCTTGAACCTAGGAGTTTAAAGTTTATAGTAAGCCATGTTCACACCACTGTACTGCAGCTCGGGTGACAAAGTGAGTGAAACCCTGTCTCAAAAAATATATGTAATAAATCTTATTGACTGGCTGGAAATTCCAGGTCTAAGAGAAAAACTATCATCCCGTGGTGTGAGTACAGCTAGTGTGGCCAGTGGATCAGAGGAGAGGGAAGGATAAAGAAGCGTCATCAGTTCTTGGGATTCGCACAAAGTGGAGAAATTCTTAATTTCACCTCTTTGGCACCTCTTTTGGACTTCTTTGAAAGATGGCACAGTGGCAGGAGGTCTGAGCCAGTGATAGGAGCATGGGAAGTGACAGAAGCTACGTAAGTCTTTATCTCAAGTGATATTACAATGCCATAAAAATGAGGCTAAAACTTCACAATAACCAGCATTTCAATAGGAATTCAAGTAGTTTTACTGCACTGGTAAAAAATCTGATTCTCTTTGCATGTTTTCAGGTTTCAATTTTGTATTTACATTAAAAAAAAAAACTTCTAGTGTTTTAGTTCTGAGCATCTACAGTGAGTGAAGAAGCTCACTTTTTAAGTGAATTTGTAAAGGGATAAATGTACAACATTTGGAGAAACCTCTGGCAGTGATTCTCAAACATTATTGATACAATAAACACAAAGGAAATACTGAAATGCAAACTTCTGAGTCCTAGACTAGCCCTTCTAAATCAGAATTTCAGGGATATGACCTAGGAAACTATATTCTTTTTTTTTCTCTTGAGACGGAGTTTCACTCTTGTTGCCCAGGCTGGAGTGCAATGGTGCGATCTCGGCTCACTGCAACCTCTGCTTCCCAGGTTCAAGCACTTCTCCAGCCTTAGCCTCCTGAGTAGCTAGGATTACAGCATGCGCCACCATGCCTGGCTAATTTTTTATTTTTAGAAAAGACAGGATTTCTCCATGTTGGTCAGGCTGATCTCAAACTCCCGACCTCAGGTGATCCACCCGACTACGCCTTCCATAGTGCTGGGATTACAGGCGTGAGTCACTGCAGCCACCCTGTATTCTTAATGTGTACCTTATGTTATCTTGACAAAATCCTAAATTATTGGAATTTTGAAAAACACTGGCTTAAATAAGCATGCAAAATTAGTGTCAGTCAAAAGTATACATGTATTAATTAGTCTGTTAAAGTAAACATGTGCAAAGACTAACAGCTAATAACTTTTGCCATTCATTGAAAGTAAGTGAAATATGTTTTCAAAGAAAGGAAACATCTTTGACTCTAGCATTAGCCTAATCAGAATGTAAGTCTGAAAAAAGACTCTTGTAATTTAAAATGAAAATTTTAACTTCTCAACCCAAAGCACCATTACTTGGGTTATTATACTGCACAGAAAAAGTCTTCCCCCAAAACAGTAAATAGATACTTACTTGATCCTTCTAGTAGATTCTTCACATATTCCTCCCCACAAGTAAGGTGATTATTTCCAGAAAGTTCAAGTTTCTATCCCTGAGACACAAAAGTAGTGTGTATCTTTAAATAACATTTTTTCCAGATTCTTACTGTGAAGAGTTAAAAAAAAAATGTATGACCCTGTTAAACATGAGTTATTTAATTCATTTACTTGGTTAGTTGTTTTGGCTTGATGATTTGCTTTAGTTTTGGCTTAGGGAGTACATCCTATAAGTAGGATGATTATCCATGCACAGTTCTTATTTAAACAAATGCTGCTCATTCTATTCTACAGAGTTAATCTTTCTTCGTTCTTGTATCCCAATTGTTAAAATGAGAACAAGATAATACTTGCAGAGTATGGATTAATCTATGTAAAGCACTAGCCAAGTGCTAAGTAGTTTTGCTTTTGCTTCTTATCTTCAATGAGAAATTATCTTAATGCTCTGTAGGTGACAGTAATTTGTTGAAGTCTGGTGAGAAATTTAGCACAGTAAACACATGAAAGTGACATGTAACAGGAATAAGCATCATGGCCCATTCCTGACAGATTGAATATTTGAATTGGATATTTATGTTCAAACTTTCTGAAAATACACTGAAAGTGATTTGACATCAAATTAATATGCTTAATTGGCAAATAAAGATATTATCTTTAAAATTTTGTAAATTTTCATTCTTGATAAAATAATGAGTAGAAATTTAAATATTATTCCTTTTATGCTTCCGTTTTATATCTCTCCTTACATTCTTTATATCTATCTCTCTATATGTATCTATCTGTCATCTGTCATCTGTCTTAGAACAGAGCCTTGAATGTTGTGGAAACAGGAAAGTGCTAAGTACAATAAGACGTTTGCTTCCAAGAGCTATGGTCTTGCCACTCACAGCTGACTTACTTTCAAATTATTTCTTATTTCATAATAACTACACAAGGTGGATGTACCAAACATTCTTTGCCATTTTAGTACCAACTTATTTTTGAACCCCCTTTTCTTGTTTACATGACATTGACCAAAATAGATTCAAAGAGTAAATGTACAGTTTTTTGTCAGATTGTTTCCTCATAAAATTAATTTGTAAACTGGAAGTAAAGGAAGAGTGAATGAGAGAGACATCAACGCTATCTGCATTATAAATTCCTAGAGAACACAAGAGAAGTTCTCCTAATTGTATAATCTTATTGCTAGAAAGAATTTCTCCTCCTCGCTCATGCCATTTAGAAAGCCAAGTGTGTACCACTGCTTTTAGATTAAAAGGAGTAGTTTATATCGGACTAAACTTCTGCTGAAAATAACTATAAAAGCTGAATACAACGGACAACACAGATGTTGAAATCACCAAGCAGCAACTAAAGCAGCTATAATGTGAAGGATCATGACAACGAATAAAAAAACCTTTAGAGAAGTAAGCCCAACATCTACACATGATTTCCACTGACGCATTTGATATTCTTCACTTTCATGTGTATAGGGAAAAAGGCCTAGCACAACATAGCTACACAAGGACGAAAATTCGAAGCAGAGATTCTGGCAGTCTCATTGGGTTGGGCATGTTATCAACTGAATGTCTATGCCTCTCTCAAATTTAAATGCTGAAGCTCCAACCTTCAATATAATGGTATTTGGAGACTGGGCCTTTGAAATGTAGTTAGAGAGAGATTAGATGATGAGGTTGAGCCCTCCTGATGAGATTAGTAGCCTCATAGGAAGAAAAAGAGACTCAATTGCTGTCCACGTGCAAGCACTAAGGAACTGCCACGTAAACACATAGGAAGAAGATGACCTACAGAATGAGAAAAAATTTTACAATCTATCCATGTGACAGAGGGTGAATATCCAGAAACTACAAGAAACTTAACTAAATTTACAAGGAAAAAACCAAATAACCACATCAAAAAGTGGGCAAAGGATATGTACATTCTCAAAATAAGACATTTATGCCGCCAGTAAACATATGAAAAAGGCTCATCATCACTGTTATTAGGGAAATGCGAATCAAAACCACAATGAGATACCACCTCATGCCAGTTAGAATGCTGATCATTAAAGGGTCAGGAAACAACAGATGCTGGAGAGGATGTGAAGAAACAGGAACGATTTTACACTGTTGGTGAGAGTATAAATTAGTTTAAGCATTGTAGAGGACAGTGTGGTGATTCCTCAAGGATCTAGAACCAGAAATATCAGTTGACCCAGCAATCTCATTTCTGGTTATATACCCAAAGGATTGTAAGTCATTCTACTATAGAGACACACGCACACATATGTTTATTGCAGCACTGTTCACAATAGCAAAGACTTGGAACCAACTCAAGTGCCCATCAGTGATAAACTGGATAAAGAAAATGTGGCACATATACACCATGGAATACAATGCAGCCATAAAAAAGGAAAAGTTTATGTCCTTTTCAGGGACATGGATGGAGCTGGAAACCATCATCTTCAGCAAACTAACACAGGAATAGAAAACCAAACACCACATGTTCTCACTCATAAGTGGGAGTTGAACAATGAGAACACATGGACACAGGGAGGGGAACATCATACACTAGGGCCTGCTGGGGGGTGGGGAGTTAGGGGAGGGATAACATTAGTAGAAATACCTAAAGTAGATGATAGGCTGATGGGTGCAGCAATCCATCATGGCACGTGTATACCTATGTAACAAACCTGCATGTTCTGCACTTGTATCCCAGAACTCAAAGTATAATTTAAAAAAAATTTTGCATGGAATTTAAAAATATATATGTAGAGTTAAAACTCATAAAGCATGTAATACAAAAGACAAGAGAAAAATTAATGAAGTCATCATGTTCTAGGATTCCAGTGATACTGGAGAAGTAGTAAAAATTAATAAATTGTATTAACCTACAATGAGTTAAGGATGTACACAGTGATCTGTAGTGAAACTACTAAAAGGATAAGAAAAAATATAACGAACTGTTTTAATCCATTTTCACACTACTGTAACGATACTACCTAAAACTGGGTAAGTTATGAATAAAAGAGATTTAATCGACTTGCTGTTACACACGGCTGGAGAAACCTCACGAAACTTACAATCATGGTGAAAGGGGAAGCAAGGCATATTTTACAGGGTGGCAGGAGAGAGAGACAGTGTGTGTGCAGGGGAAATTGTTACTTTTAAACCATCAGATCTCATGAAAATTCCTTCACTATCTCAAGAACAACATGGGGGAAACTGCCTCCATAATCCGATCACCTCCTATCAGGTCCCTCCCTCAACATGTGGGAGCTTATAATTCAAGATGAGATTTCGATTGGGACACAGAGCCAAACCCTCACCACTTATTGGGAGGAAAGTCATAGAATAATAAAATTTTTTGATTAGTCAAAAAATAAGGCAAGAAAGAAAAAAAGGAATATAAATGTGTTAAATAGAACAAAAAGTAATTGTCTAAATAAACAAACATCAGTAATTGTACTAAATGTAAATAGGCTACATACTTCTATTAAGACAACATTTTTAGAGCAGATTGAAAAACCGTATAGCTTTATGCTATTTACAAAATGAACACTTTAAAGACAAGAACTTACCTTCCAAGAAAAGAATGAAAAAAAGATACCATGTACAGACAAACCAAAAAAAGCTGATGTGACAGTACTAATGCAATATAAAGTACATTTTTAAGGGCAAAAACATTATTAGAGATAATGACCAACATTTCACAAAGACAAAGGTATGTTAATCAATAAGTTATAACAATTTAAACGTTAATGTACCCAATGTTTAGCTTCAAAATATATAGGCAGAAATTAATAAGATTAAAATAAGCAGATAAATTTATAGTCGTAACGATTTAACACATTTCTTTCTATGTACAAAGAACAAGCAAACAAAAATAAACTCACTATAAGTATAGATTCTAAAATAATCACAAAACTGACCCAGTTAACATATGTAGAACACTGTGCACAACGACAGAATAGTCATTTTTTTGGGTACACATTTACCTAAATTTATGTTCTTTCACAAAATAAACTTCAAGAAATTTCAATGATTTATGTCGTTCAAAAAAATTTCTTTGACCATAATTGAATTAAACTACAATTTGATCACAAAAAGGTAATTTGAAATCCCCTGCTTGGTTCTTAAATAAGATACTGTTAAGTAATTTGTGGGAAAAAGAGGAAATAAGAACTTTTTAGCTGAAAAACATAAAGACGTGTATGTGATACTTATGTGACATGGCTAAAACAGTGCTAAGAGACATGTATACAGGATTAAATGCATATATTTGAAAGAAAGTCTCAAAATCATTCTAAGCTTTTTTTTTTTTTTTTAGAGATAGGGTCTCAACCTGTCATCTCACCTGGAGTGCAGTGGTATGATCATAGCTCACTATAACCTCCGATTCGTGGGCTCAAGACATTCTCCTGCCTCAGCGTCCCAAGTAGCTAGGACTACAGGCATGTGCCACGATGCCTAGCCTAAGCCTTTGTCTTAAGAGACTTGGAAACAAAATGAAGACAATTTAACCCAAAGGAAAAAAAAAAGAAGGAAGTATTAAAGATAAGAATAGAAATAAAGTAGAAAACACACATATAATAGAGAAGATAATTTGAGCCAAACTTTTATCCTTTGCAAAGATTAATCATACCATCAACAATCCATGAGTGAAACTAATAAAAAAATTGAAGGAATACATGAAATTATCAACAAAATAATAATTGATATTATTTTATTGATAATTTAGTGAGGCAAGAAGGGCATAGCTATCAATGCTACAGAGTTTAAAAGGATAATAAAAAGATATTATGAGAAAGTTTATAAGAATATTTAAAAATAAACATAAAATAAACAAATTCTTTGATAAATACAACTCGCCAAATTTGACCACCAAAATAATAAACCTGAATGCTTCTGTATCTATAAAAGAAATGTAATTTATTATTGAAACTTTACCCTCAAACAAGACAAAACAAAAACAATAACAACAAAGCCTCATACACAACGGAAAACTTGACACTGTGGACAGATACACAATTACAGTTGATGCTTTTAACACATTTTTCTTAGCAACTAATAGAACAAGC